CAAAGCCTTCATAGCAATGTATCCTGAATCAAAAATCTTCCTATAGCAAAGACCCACATTTTTCTAACTGAGATAGCTAGAACTCAGGGAGTATTTCACGAAGTGAGAACAGGCTTCCATCACCCCAGTGAAGTGAAAAGAACACGGTATCCTGACAACTTCACTCAGTGCCCCATCGTACCTCACTTTCACCTACGTACAGGTGACCAGCCCCACAGTCACAAGCTGTAACAAGAAAACAAGAAAACAAAAGTTTTCTGTTCATTAGCCAAATAGGGTTCACAGCCATCAAAATGCACTGTTTTGCCCTGCCTCACCCCTAACTAGTTATTTAAGGCAGCTTGACAGGAGTTTTGGATATGGCTTACTATTAGTGGTCATATTAGTGAATGCCACATAGAAACATAAGGCAAAAATCAACATAGCAGAATGGAAAAAATAAGATTGAAGGCTCCAATTGTACTATTTGAACGAAGATGATGAAGTGTTTGTGTTAAACAGAAACACATTATACTACGAGTCTAGCACAGTTATTGACAGAGATACAACATAACATTAACCACATCACAGTCTTTGTCTTTTTGTTGTTGAACTAAACAAAGCTCATTACTGTAAAGTTAGCTGGCAGTCAAAAAAAAAAAAGCACTTACAGCATGAAGATAAAGATGTCTTGGCTATCTTTCAAGAGAATTGCTAGCAAGACTAGTCTGGTTGCAACTCAAAAGAGCAGGGCACAAGCCAATTGATTTGGCTTTTGTCTATGTGCAAGTCAATAGTGCTCCTGTGATCAACTAACACGCCCTTGTCTTCTTCCTCCTCTAGGAACCTCAGCTGACAGCACAGTCATTTGATCCTTCCGCTTCACCATCTATAAAATAGGAGATGGCCACGCTTCATGCCCCCTTGGGAAGGCAGATTTATGGCTTAACCACACTAAAAATACCAAGCAGTATTTAAACTTGTCTGAGTTAAATTAGTGTATTTTGCTGTACAGAATGACTTTAGGATCTGGAATATCATTCTGCTTATAAAATAAATGATGCATTCAGCAACTATTTCTAATTGTTCTCCTTAATCCTTCCCTCCTAATCCAAAAACTGCTTTCCTGAGGAACTGTGAGAAGCTTTGTGCTCAGTAGAAAAAGGTCAATCACCTACATTCCAGAAAGCATAACTGCATCCTTACAGACTCAGGTATATTCAAGAAATCAGATAAGGCAGTATGCAAATCTGGTGAGACAAAAAGAAAAGCAGATCCTCTATATTCAGGCTAACAGAACTTGCATCTTTACTCCAAACAGCAACTACAGAATAATGATGTAGTTCTGTGACTTACTTATTACAGCTAAAAGTTTCCAGTTTGCACCAACCGGTAAGAGTCACCTTTGAAAGCTACACTTAGTGGTTTGCTACCTGCAGAGAATCCACAGCTATGCAGTCTTAAATGACTCATTTTGACAAAGGGTTTGGTTGTTGTTCTAAACGATATTGTTCTGTTAGGTTCTAAATTCACCCAGAATAGCACACAGCATTTATGTAAACCAACTCCATTTGACATCTACTAGATTTAGATACTATTAACAGCAAAAAAAATAATCTTACCTCTCCTACCCTTACATCAGCATACTTTGTGCTAAATACTCCACATAACTGACCACTGGATCCTTTGTGCAATGCCATCACTAGTTTGACACAACAGCTGAAGCTGCGATTCAAAACATCGTGAATTTCAAAGTGAAACACAGAAGTTTAACTGTCTGTTCTGAAAACAAAGATATCTAAATACAGACAAAGCAAACTTTCTCAGAACCAGAAATATTTCCATGCCTATTTCACCTTTAGCATCCTGATAACTGACAAAATCTATAACCTTAGAAATAAAAACACACAACCATAGTACAAAGAGTACAAGAGTACATGTAAGTGTAGTAGTGTTCTTCATTATGGTAGCATGTCTATCTACTAGGAAATGAACTGGCAGTGGGGCCACCTACTAGTAAATTAACTCAGAGTAAAGTACCCTGTTCAGTAAAAAGCAATTAGATATTATCAGTGGCTAGCAGGCAAAAAATTTAAAAATTTGAAGACAACTGTTACTTGTATTAACTACCCCTTAATGTGGGAATCAGTCAGGCTGTGCAAGTGAGCAACAGCCACCTGGTTACCAGCAACCCTTCAGTGCAACCAGGTGGCCGTTGCCTGGTTATTCATCCATTTTGGCATGTCACAGTAGAAATGTGCAGAACACAGCATGTGCTGCAAAATTCAGATTGAAAATGCAGATGAGGTCTGATGTGGATGCAAGCCCTGAGCTCTTTATACAAAGGATACATATGCTTGGTACAACTAATCGGGATTCTCAAGGGGGTTTTATAATGCACCCATTTTAACAGGGCAGATAAATACATGAGTATTAAAAAAAATAAGATGTATGGAAGCATAGTAATCCCATCACTGAAAAAAGAAAATACACAAGCAGGTCTGTGATGCAAAATTCAAGCTTGATCTACAAAATTCACTTCACATGAAGTTTAAAGAATTATACAGAAAGATCCAACTCTTTCTCCTGCCTCCCCCACCACTGCCATAGAGCACAATAGCTTATACGATAATTGGGTGTGAAGATTTTGCAGACAGCACTCCTCATGCAGGTGAGTGAGGACACAGCATAAAACGCAGTCCAAGAGAAAAATTAAATTACTTTAGGTTAGTATTTCAACATTTTGCAATGGTCATACATACTATGATATCACCCACATCCTAGGGGTACAGAGGACCCAAATCGAACAGTGGCTTTTTTGTTAATATCTTGAATAGCCTTTGGAAGGCAAATCACAGAAAAGCATGGAATGAATTTAAATAAGAATAAGCATCTTTTTGTGACTATATTATATTTACACAAATAAAGAGGATCTTTGTAGTGAGCTACATTTTCTAGTTGATCAAAACGAAGCCCACTATTGAGAAATAGCAACTGTATCTCTTCAGCAAGCATAAAATTTCAGTGACACCAGCTCTGAGAAGTGAGGAAGAGCTGGACAGTGATTCCTGTGTAAGTACCTGAAAAGGTTTAAGGGATATGACTTAATTGTTTAGCAACCAGGAGGTAGTTAATTCAAATAGTGGGAACAGTGTTTGGCTGATTGTTTCCAGTGTTAGAAAAGATGCTCCATAGCGATTTTTAGCTCATAAATGAGGAAACAAAATGCTTCAGTTGTGAAATAGCATACTATGCTCAAAAATAAAAATAAATTCAAAAACCCACAACAAATAGGCCAGGAGGAGGGCTGCAGCTTGGAATACTTGACTGCTAATATCCAGCATGCCATTCCAGGGAGTCCCAGAGTGGTTTTTAAGTCTCTGCCCATCCTCGTAAAGAAAGGAGGGTGGCAAGAGTAATCAATACCTTGCAACCCAGCTGTGATCCGGCAAATAAAGAAGTCAAGAAAATAAATCCCATCTATGATCTCTGTAATTTAACGTCCGGAGGACGTCGGCAACATCTGGGCTCAACTCCAAATGGGATGGAGCGGTACCGCACGGGGTTGCCGCCCGCGCTAATTGCTCGCCGGAGCGCTGCTACACACACACACACACCCAGAGACACACACACACACACACACACAGAGACACACACACACAGAGACACACACACCCCCAGAGACACACAAAAACAAAGGAGGGCTCCGCGCTCCTCCTGCTCTTCCCGTAACGGGCACAACTCCGCGCCCAAGCGCGACGTAAACAGATGGAAAGCCGCTTACTACGGGAGTAGATCTGTATAACAGTTCAGACGCATCCGTGTCGGAGGGGGCTATTGTCCGGGACCAGCCACCAGAGTGGTGGCGGTCTTAATAGGTGGTGTCATTAAAAAATAAATAAATAAATCACAGCGAACCTCTCCGAGTACTTCGGAAGTCAAAGCAACGGGCTCCAGAGCCGCGCACCGGGCAGAGCTGAATAAAGGGGCAGGGAAGCGCGGCTCCCACAAGCGACACTTTGTCTGGTTTCCTCTGAAGCCGCCACAAAACCCCCGACGCGCGAACAATGCCCGCGGCCCCGCTCCGCCCCGGGGGAGCGCCGCCGGTACCGGCCGGGACTCCCTCCTGCCGCCGGGTCGCCGCTCCCCGCGCTCTATAGATATATTTTTAAGGCTGCTTTGTTCGGGAAGAAGCCGAAACGCCCGGCTGGGAGGCGGGGGACCAGCCCCATCCCCGGGCAGCGGCGGGAGGCGCCGGAGCCGCGGCTCGGGCATCGGCCGCCCTTTGTTGCGCCCCGGGGGAAGGGACCGCTCTTCCCCATCCCCTCACCGCCCCGGCGGGACCTCCGACCCCCGCGGCCGCCGGGACGGGCGGGGAGCCGCCTCCGCTCCCGCGGGAGAGGGCAGCAGCCCACGCCGGTCCCGCGGTGGGCGAGCCCGCTCCGCCGCGGGACGCGCTCCCCCCGGTGCTCCCACTCTCCACTCACCCACGCCGTACTTCTCGTGCTCCGTGGGTAT